GAGGAGGAGGAGGAGGAGGAGGAGGAGGAGGAGGGGGAGGAGGAGGGGGGACAGGAGGAGGCGGAGGAGGAGCAGGAGCAGGCGGAGGAGGAGGAGGAAGAGGACGAGGCAGAGGAAGCGGAGGTGGGCGCCCCCCTCGCGGCCGGCCTCGCGCGGCCGGGCAGCAGCGGGGGCAGAGGCGCCCCTACTGCAGGGCCGCGGCACTCGAGCGGCGACGAGCGGGCCCCGGCCCGCAGCGAGCTCGGCCTCGCGATGTGCCGGCGCGGCCAGTCCGCTCGGGGCCACTCCGTGCGGGCGCGGCCTCTGCGTGCGGGCGCGCCCTGCCGCAACGAGCTCGGCTTGAGTCGGGCACGTCCCTCTACAAAAATAGGGCGCTTCACATGACCGTGCCAGACCTCGTAAGGGGCCAAGCGGCAGATGTACCGGTGCGTCGGGCTCTTGAGCTTGGTCTCGCAGTGCGGGCACCGATATCCCTGCTCTCTACGGCGAGCAGATGCTGCCGAGGCCGGCCTCTTGGCAGTCGTAGGTCGCGCGGGCTTCGCCTTGCTGGCTGCTGGCAACCCCTTGGTCTGCTTGGTCCGGCGCTGGGAGATGAACTCCCCAAGCAGGCGCACGCGGTCAGCGGGCACCCGCACGCGCGGGCTTGAGTCCGTGCGGGCACGTCCCTCTACAAAAATAAGCAAAGAAACAGAGTCCGGGGGCGATTGTTGGAGCATTTGTTGGGCCATTCGGGGGCATGTTTAAGTATTTCTAATTTGTCGTCCAAGTTCCCCCTGTCGGGGGACACGCCCGACTTGGAGCTCGGCCTCGCCGTTCGGGGGCGTGGCGCTTCGGACGCGGCGGGGTCGGATGGAAGGGGGCCCAGAGCTCCAGCACGTGGAGCAAGGTCAAGATGCAGGTGTGTCGCCGCGTTCGGCCGCCAGGGGCCCCTGCGGGGCCCTGGGCCCCGGGGTCATACAGTCGGGGCGCTGAAGAAGGAACCCTTTTAGTTGGGCAGGGGCTCGATGTTCCTTGAGGGTTTCAAAGTTTGCCTCGGGCTTTCCTAAGGTTTTCCACGGGAAATCGAGGTTGAACTTCTGGGAAAAAGGAGCCAAGGGGCCTCGTTCATTATTTGGGGGTCCTTAGGTCAACGCCCCGACTGTAAGTCAGGAAGACAGCTGCCGGGTTTGGAGGATGGTGTTGGGAGGAGTGAGGATAGCGTTACCCGTAGGTGGCCGAAGGCATCGTTCGTTGCATCCGGATGCTACTCTGCTGATGCTGATGCCACCCCTTCCTCCGAACACGATAACTGCTCCCCTCAGCAAGAGAACGGCTCAGGACGAAAAGCCCGTCCCCAGGAGCTGGTCGGGACTCCCAGGGCCCCGCACTGAAAAATACAGACGTCGACACGAGGAGGTCGGGGCGAACGCTGCTGCATGTACTCCAGATTTCGTAATCAAAGGGAGGGGGTCTCATTTCGGGGGGGGTCTCTTCCAGGCTATCTTGGAGGGCCTGGGGGGTCTGGGGACGATGTTTTGGAGGGTTCCCCCACGGGGGAGGTCTGAAACGGCTTGTCTTGGAGGGTCCAGACCCCTTCCCTTCTACTACGAAATCTGGAGTAGCTGGTCTGCGGCCCCGTCGCTGGACGTCTTCCTGGACCCGTTGGCGCCTCCACGAGGCTCCGCGAGGCGCCCAGGAAGCCATCCGCTGCGCGTCGGCGGTGCCGCGGCGATGCGGCGCGATCTGCGGTCCGACTTCCTCCGCGCCCGCGTCGCCGAGGAGGAGGAGGAGGAGGAGGAGGAGGAGGAGGAGGAGGCACGATCCCTCGACACCATGCGCTCCGACGCAAGTCGGGAATCGCCAGAGCCGCTGGAGGTCGAGACCTCAGGGGCAGCAAGGCTCTGCGGCGTCTGCAAGGTCTGCGAATTCAGCAGTGCTCGCCTCTGCGCACGCAGGGTATCGATACGGGGGGGGCGGTCGTTGAGGAATGTCCCCAGGAGGTTTCAGACCCGGAAGGGTTCCTCATCTGATGAGAGCGGCGGCGGTGGTTTCCATGGCCAAGCCACAATTACCAAGTGTTCAACCGGCTTCCTGACCCTGGATTCTTTTTCCCATGGTTCCTTATCCAATGCCCGCACCGTGCTGTCATCCAGTGCCCGCCGAATGGCGAGAGGAGGGGAGGGATGGTGAGGAGGAGGAGGAGGAGGAGATTTAGGAGGAGGAGGAGGATGAGGATGGGAGAAGGGAGAATGAAGATAGGGGGAGCGAGGAGGAGGGATTGAGGCAGGAGGAGGCAGGAGGTCTGAGGAGGACGAGGAGAAGGAATGAGAGGCAACGAAAAAACATGGAGAAGCTGCGGGTCATCATGAGGAGCAGATGCAGGAGAGCAACAGAAACATGAGCAGGAACAAGGAACAGGGGCAAGGGAGACAGCAGGGGAACGCAGAGGGGAGTGGGTATGGCGATGAGAATGGCATGTCTGGATGACGAGGAGCATGTTGGATGCGATTGGTACGACGATGAGTATGTACGGAAGGGGCGGCTGGGTGGGCCTCCCAGCTGCTCCCATATGCTTCAGTTGACGTTGCCTGTGCTGCGTGTTTCAACTGACCTTGTTTGTGTGGCGTCAGCTAGTACGCCCTGCCAATCGCCTCCTGCGCGGTTCGCACGTGTTTGACCTTACCACCCTTCGCATGTAAAGTGTTTCCTCGTGTAAGTAGCAAGTTGATGTCTCACTATCACGCAGACAGACCCCTTGCGGCTACAGAGCTGGTCCTGCGCAGGACATGGGGACACAAACGCATGCAAAGCTTGGTGTGAATGCCGTCGCTCAGACACCGTCCGTCCACTTACGTGCCAGCAGACCACCGTCCGGACACAGGCGCAGCACACTTGCCCCTTGCCCCCCCCAGATCAACCCAGTTCCACCCTCGTGGTCTTGAGCCCTATTTCGGCGCTCTGGGAGTTAGTGTCGGCTTCAAGCGGCGTCCACGACACAATTCTGACATGCGAACGGCTCAAAAATTACGTGGGACCGCCCAGGATGGATTCCAGACTTCTCTGGGCAGGCCAACACGGCCTCAGGACGGCGCAAGAGGCTCCCAGGACGCCCCAAAACGGTACTAAGAGAAACCCCAAGACGGCCCTGACAGGCAATCGCCGTCGCAATCCCGCAGGAAAGCGCACATGTTTAACATGTTCACTGTTGGGGCTTTGCCGCGTCCAGACGGTCAGAGAGGCCCCAACGATCGCCTCAAGACCGCCCAAGAGGGCCCCAAGGCGGCCCACTAGCGCCCCAAGAGAGCCCTAACAGGGGCCCAAGTGGGGCGACATCGAACTGACAGTTCAAGCGTTCCGCCCCAAGAGGACCCTCTTGCCTTCCGGTATGTAGTGGGGCTTGTTAATGCATGTTGGAAGCGCCTCGGGAGCGACCTCCTGGGAGCCTGCGCAGGTCTCCTGGGAACCTCTTCGGCTGCTACTTTTGGTATTTGGTTGCGACTTGAAGCTAGTAAGGCCTAGCATGGTGACAGCCATAGCGGTGAATAGGGTGAGACGGCGGCATGCTGGCAATGGTGAGGATGATGGCGGGGATGGTTGCGGTGCAGATACCGTTGGAGATGAGATTTCTGGGGCAGGGCGATCGCTTTCGCGGGGTGGGCAAACCCATCGGTTCGCGGGGACTCTCCGGGCGATAGTCACAATGCGTTTGCCGCCTAGGAAAGAACGGAGCAGGAAAACAGCGGCAATAGCCCGAAACCTGGAAGGAAACCGCCAGTACGGTTGTGAAGAAGCGTTGACCAGGATGTACAAGTTGCACAACGCCCCATGTCAGGTCATCTTGGAGGCCTCTTGGGCGATCTTTCGGCGATCTTTGGGGGCTCTTGGGCCATCTCGGGCCGTCGGAAGGCC